AGCGGGGGTCAAAACCTGTGTATGTTGGGACGGTCTGAGAATTCATCTGAGTGGGTGATCATAATGACAGGATTAGCCCTTTTGTCGGACAAAGGTAATGATCGGGGATGCACTCTCACTGATGGAAACCAAGACTGCCGGCAGTCGATTTCAATCGTTGAGATTTGTTTTGCAAAACATATTTTATATGAGATATAAAAGTATATATATTGTGGTTTCTAAAATGTTTGCAAAAGATTTTAATTCCCGGGATCCATATAAACAGAGAGTGCAACACTGTTCCTAGCAGCCAAGGGAGAGGTCCTCTCTTGTCAGCCAGTGTTTGATCATTATGGGCTGAGAGGTTAAGTGTAAGACTATTGAGGGTAATACCTAATGGGCTAATCTTGCATCTGTCCACAGTCCCTGGGTGTTACAAGGTGGCTTGGCCCAGGGACCACTTAGGGTAAGTGTTGGGCCCATAGAGCCCATGTGATGGGTTTCAGGGGGTGCACTGTCCATAACAGTGTATTCGGCCAAGCCTTGTAACAAAGGCTGAGCCGAACCCATATGGCTGATGTGTAGATCAATGTTTGGGTCCCACGCCATACAAGGAAACCCAACTGGGCAGCAAGTAGGAAGGCTAGGTGAGCACATGAGCTTAATGGGCCTAAAGCCCATTTCGAAATGGATTAATTTAATAAGTTAAATATGGGCGAATTCTAAGATGAATCAGCAGATAGGATAGGGTCTTAACCCCATCCACTCGGAGAGTCCAGATCTGAATATGATTCAGATCTAGAAACCTCCTAATGAGATTAGGARAAGGCTGATCTAATCTGCAGATAAGATAAGGGTTTATCCTTATCACCTAAAGGGATGTCTGATCCAAATATGATTTGGATCAGCAGCTCCTAATTGGAATAGGAGCTGATCTTTTAGGGTTACAAAAGGAGGGGGCGGCAGCCTTTAGAAGACACGCATACTCACATCCTCTTAAGAGTTGAAATCACAGAAGAAAGAATTAAGCAACCCTGTAGAATTCTTTCTTGCCGCCTCCTTGTCCTTGCCGCCCAAGTTTGCCAGTTCGATCTCCAGTTATGGGAGAAGTCAAGATTCAATCTTGACATCAGTTCTTTGTGAAAGGATTGATAGGAAGCTATGCTCACGTGCCATCCTGCTGTTTCTTGCGAAGGACAGAGTTCTTGGAGAAGAACACTACTGATTCTGCTCCATCCTACACTGTGCCATCTTCAGTGGGAGCAGTYTTTGGATCCTTCCTTGGGCGTGAACACCTTCATTGAGAGATAATATTTCTCTATATCAGGTATACCTCTCTCCTACTCCTTTTGGTTCAGATCTGGTTCAGTTNATACCTCTCTCCTACTCCTTTTGGTTCAGATCTGGTTCAGTTTATGGTTCAAGATTGATCCTTGAAAATATGATTTTCTAAATAGGAAATGCGATTCCCAGTTGAAGGGAGAGAAAAATTTTTGAAATTCGCCCCCTTTATTCCGCATAGTTTGGGCGTCCATACGATGGATCTCTCATCCCTTCACCTTCTTCCCCCAACATGCACACACACACAGATAGACATGCATGCATACAGGCAGACAGCAGTTTTATCAATGCAGTAATACAATTTCTTGTAATTTTTGCCTCTCTAGTCAACTTGCTGACTAGTCAGTGCTTAGTTGTCCTAACCTTCGGGACTGACTAGGTTGACTAATCATTAATCAACTATTCAGCCTAGTCAATGCTTAGTTGTCCTAACCTCCGGTACAGGATCACAACCATATCAGTTCCTTATATTACAAAGTTATAATACGCTCCAAATAATGCCCCCAAGTTCCTGAATGGATGGTTCTTTTTGACTTTATGTTAGGGGTTACATTTGTCCTCAACCTGCAACTTTTCAGCTAACCTTACTCATAATCACATATTGGTTAGCCATTTAGTTTGTTTAGCTGTGACACTCCCAACCCATAGCCAAAGTTCACTTCTAGAGAACAGGTTATACTATCAAGCAGTGTTACCAAAGCATGAATTAGTCAACCATCTAGCCAGTTGAAAGCCAATAGCAACTGCATCACTAACTAGTTACTAGTTGGTCAATAGACTCAATACCCAATTACACATGATGTGGTTGCCTAGGGTAACAAAGCATCAATTACTTAACCACTAGTTAGCCTAACTTGCCTAGTTGACTTAGTGAACCACACACTTATCTTATAGTTGCTTTTTTGATAAGTTATTTTATAGTTTTATTTGGTTGTCTTTATGTCTCACTATTGAAGTAATGAGAAAAGATTAAAGGGCCCATAGTTTAACAATGGATATAATACTGAATACAATAGAATGAACAGTATTCATGTAACCAATGCCTTATAGTTGGGACAAGGTTTAGATGGGAGAGGAAAGATAATATGGCTGCAGTACATAGAATTTGGCATTGGTAGAACCACCATGCAAACTATTAAAGATGGGAGGGGAAAGAATTAGAGAGAGAGAGAGAGGGCCATTAAGTAATACACCCAAAGGTTAAACAGAAACAGGAATACAACAAACAAAAAGAGAATTAACATTAATTGACAATTTCAAACTTAGCAGAGAAATATAACATGCAGACTCAAATAATAATTTTCTCAACAAAGGAAATATAGTCAACTGGGGTTCTTTCTAGTGACTAGTGAGAGAAACAATGAGATACATGCACACAGAAAAACAGAAGAGAACATGTAACTGAAAATCAGAAATTCACTAAATGATGAAATGATAATGGATAACCATAAACCATCAGTTTCATTAACATACTGATAGAAAAAGAAAACACCAATAAAATGATATTCAACTAGAACAGGACTTGCAGAATACCTCTATTGCACTCTGCACAGCACTTGACACCTCAAATTCTACAAAACCAAAACAAAATGCTTGTTGCTGCAAACAAGTAAAACAAATTATTTAGTAGAGAACTAGAGACAAAACAAAAAACAACAAAATAAACACCTAGGTGACTGAAGCAGAAAGAACCTTATTGCTTCTAACTTGAACACCATTGATCTTGATAGGTCCAAACCTCTTAAACTCTTCCTCAAGCTGTGCAGATGTAGCATTTAATGGAAGGTTTCTTATATAAATTGAGTGACCATCACCTACAAGAACCAGTTGTATAACCCTCAAAGTTAAAAGAAAAAACTCCACTGCCTGTAAATGTGAGACTAAAATTATAACAGACAGGACTGACATACCTTCTCCTTCTTGATGACTGCCATTTTCAGTGGCATTTGGGTTGGAAATTGGTGCCTCATTTGATGAAACTGTAGACTGAGGTGGGACCACTTGTCGTTCTTGGTTTGCAGGTGCTGGTCTTGCAGCAGGAGGCGTTGGAACTGATAGAGGCACTGCACTCTCTTTCATAACCTTCACCTGCAATTATAATATCTGCTTCAACAATCGAAGACTCAAACAGATGTATAGACAAGAACAGATGGGCCTTGTCAGCAAGATCAGCAGTTCCAATTCGTCATCCCATACAACTAGGCCCTAGCTAATTGCATACATGTAAACATCACCTATTAGAAATAGAGCAAGGTGGTTGAAGTGAAGGGGTGTATCTAATAAGCTATGTGGCTGGCCATATACCAATGACACTAAAAGAAAATTTCCATAAGACAGTTACAAGAGCAGCAATCAGCATTGCTATATTGGGCATCATTTTGGGCAATCAACAAACGACATGTTCAAAGAATGATTTAGCTGGCACTAGTAGCAATGCTAGAAAGGACAGGACAAAAATTGAGCACAGAAGAAATGAATTAAAAGTGACTGAACATAAAAACTGGATTTAGGAGTACGTCGAATTAGTGTAACAAGATGAGGAAAATTTGACTGAAATGGTTTGGTAATGTGTATAGACAACCAATGGATTGTGAATTGGTGTGAGTCGAAGGATCTGAAGGAGCTAATGGAAGATCAAAGAAAATGTGGTCTGAAATGATAATAATGACTCAAAAGACATATAATTCAATATATTGTAATATAGAGTAATATATGTCTATAACACTAGATTTTATCAGAAACAAACCCTTAGAAATACAGTTAGGACCTAGGGAAGTGAAAAAGGGAACAATATAATAGATACTTCCTCAGAATGAAGGAAGGAAGAACCTACAATTGATGCATATGACTTCTTAGGCACTTCTTCTTGGACTGCAGAGCAAGGCTCAGTAACCATCTGTGACTCAATTGGAACTTCATCAACAACCTCAGCAACAGGTGCCTCTTCTTCCACCACTGAACCTTCCTCGTTGTCAGAAGGATTATAAACCTCCTCCACATTGACGTCTTCTTCTGGAAATGATTGTTCCGGATGCTCTTGCACTGGAGGAGTATCTGCAGAACCAAGAAACCTCAATATCAAATAGAACAATGAAAGTTTTACCTATCAAAACATATAAAGCTCAAGGATCACGTACTCTGCTCTGGAGTAAGAGGTGCAGCAACGCCATTAGGCAAACCCTGGTTCCCATCATGATGTTCAACCTCTTCCATGTACCTAAATATGTCATTCAACACAAAGTAGCCCTTGTCTTGGGGAGCAAGGAAGAATGATTGGGTAAAGTTCCTCCTCACATTGTCCTCCCCGGTCAAATACCCTGTCACAAGGACAATGACTCCCCCGTTGAATGAATCCTGCGCATCCACCGTCTTTATTTCTGCCCTATATTTGCTATAATCCAGAGAAAGTATCTTCTCATTGATAGCCTGAGAAGAATAACATACCGCAACAAACAAATCACAACGGGAATCAATACAAACCATGGCACTGATCTGGGTCACCAAATACCTATGCTTCTGCATTCTATGTTCTTGCTTTTCTTCCACAACCAACTAGGAAAACAAAAATAACAGTAACCGAGGAGAATAAGAAAAGAAGAAGAAGAAGAACCCTTACTTGCATGGTTGTTACAATACTCATGGAACCATCGGAATCGGGGCGGCCGAGCTTACTGCTATCCTGGTAGAAGCGATAAACAAGATCTGGAGATTGATGCATGATGTGATAGTATTGGTGAACGAACGCGTTCCCAACCTGAAAGAAAGAAACTCATTTTCGAGGTGAGGGGATAAACGAACTTAACAATACAGTAAACAAGATATCAGTTTAGATATATACCACTTGGGCAGTAGGGCAAGATCCGGCAGGTTGCTGCGATGCCATTAGTAATCGAGCTCGAAAAGCAATACCCTGACAAACCCAATTACTGCCTTCATCAACAGAAGTAACAGAAGAAATATTTTATGCTCGGCAACAGAAAGCTCTATCGGCGGCTTAAGATCAACCGCAGAGCAGAAAATTCAAGGAACTAAATACAGAGATCGATAGGTATATAGGTGGATTCAAAACCAGAGAGTTGAAATCGATCGAAAAACGAAGCTTACCTGTTCGTCTTCTCTTACTTCGCCCCTTTCGCGCTTTCTAGGGTTTTTGGCTTTCGGATCTGAGAGAGGCGCGAGAAAGGGAGAGAGAAGCCGAGAAAGAGGGGACTCTTTATTTTATTTATTTTTCTATTTCCTTTTTATTTCCTTTGTGCGGACAGCGTGGGGGGATGTTTGGTTTCATGGTTTGTGTTTGATCTGTGTTATTGGAAATAAAATTGTGAAGAAAAATATTATTGTTTTGGTTGGGGTTTTGCTCTCCGAATCTCTGTAATAGGGTTTATGAATTGAAACGGGGCGGGACCACACTCCTCGTCCCCGATTGGCCGATTCCAATCACTCTTGCCGATTGAGGATGAAAATTACCCTCAAATCCTTGGTCTCTCATGGTCATGGAGACCGCCGATTCCCTATCGATCGAGGACTGAAATCTTAAAATTATTTTTAAGATAAGGGAATTTTAAAAAATAATAGGTTAAAAGACTTAAACCTCCTTTGACATTTCACCTTAATACTAAAACCTCCCTAATAAGACAAAAACTACCCCTGTTCAAACTATCGTTAATTGCCGTTGGAAAATGATCATGTGTACCATAAAAGATTTAACGAAAACCCGGTAGTACCCATATTTAATTCAATAGTGCTTTCTTCAATGGAAGCGAAGCAGACTTTCTTATATATTGAACTTCCAAGTTGTCTTAAGAGAGCCCTTTCTGACTTGTTGTACTTGTACCCTTCATTTGTCTCCCTGTTCCCTAATTTATTCCAAACCAATATTGGTTTGGGGCTATCCTTGTGAAAACCATRCAAAGCTGTACCATACCAAATTCTTGGAAACACAAATCAATTCCTCCTTCATCATGACTCATTCAATCATTATATTTTCTTTGTTTTTCTTTCATCACAATGAACAAAACCATTTTATTAGTAAGGATTAAAAACATATCCATTACCATAAAATACACAACCAATTTTTTTAGGGAAAATTCGTTGTCGGTACCCTATACTGTGGGGGTTGTGTCAAGTCAGTCCCTGAACTTCAAAACCTGTTTTCTGTAGTACCTGAACTTTTAAATTGTGTCTACGAAATCCCTTTTCATCAACGACTGTTAATCAATACAGTCACATGACATCAAGTGCGCATTAAATATTTTCAAAATGACAAAATTACCCTTTATAATATTTTTTGGACCATTTTACCCATTTTGCTTGAGGATTTAAAAGAAAGGGAGAAAAGGGTTTTTCGGCTCAAACTCCTCTATGCAATGAGCAACAACCAAACAAAGAAGGCTCCCCTCCACTATGCAATGAGCAACTTCAACTGGACGACGAAGGCTCTCCTATTCAAGATCCCCTATGCAATGATCAACAATCGGACAAAGAAGGCTCCCCCATTCAAGCTCCCTTGTGCAACGAGCAACTGCAACCGAATGAAGAAGGTGGACTCAAACGGATGTCTTCTTCTTAGTCAAGTGCTGGTCAACATGCTAGGTACCTTAAATACAGTCCAAGGAATTGTAAATGTGGTAGGAGGGTTGTGATTCGAGTTTCAGAAACAGACTGTAACCCGAATAAGATTTTCTACAACTTTCCAATTAGTTATGTAAGCAAATAAGTTTACTAATGTTGTTGATATTTAGTGCATGAAGGGATGTTGGCCTCCATTGCATTGCATTTGAATGTGTTTAGGGAAATGTACCTCCACCATGCAATCTTTTCAGTTGGCAGTTCCCATGAACTTTTATAATGAAGACATCTCAACAACGGTTTACCTAGAAAACCATATCGGAGAGCTTAAGGAATTGGTAGTTGATTTGGACCATCGTATAAAGGCTATGGAGTTCTCCCAACATGCAGTTGTTGAAGGATTGAAGACCATGAGAGTCTTACTTATTGTGTTCATTGTTGCCTTTATTGGAATGTACATGTACAAGATATAGGATTATCTGTACCTCTATTTTGTTTTGGTCATGTGAAGAGTTTGGTTGTTAATGAACCTCCCTTACTGTATGGGAATGGCTACATTGAAGTTGATGATGGGGACCTTATTATGGGGTAATGAAGAGTTCACATTCTAGAAATTGAGATTTCTAGATTTCTTCTAATGAAGAGTTCACAATCAGGATCTTTCTCAGATGCAATCTGATGAGGTCCTAAAACCTTTCACTACCACCAAAAAAAGAAGACATTAACAGTAAAACAAGTAGATAGTGCTCCAAATTAATTAATGGACTAAGCAAATTGAGATGCAAAATAACATTTGGTAGATGATTTTTGCATGTGGTCAAGTGGTTCTATCATGTTCAATATTTAAAAGGGAAAAAATGTTAGAAATTCACCTTGCCAACAAATGGTAAAACTAAAAACCTTTGTTCACCTTAATCTATTAACATCCCATCAGGTTATTAATGTTAAATTTAATGGAAGATGAGGAAAAGAATAATTCCACAATGTGATGCAACCCACTAACATCCTATCGAATTACTAAAAAACATCCCTTATTGTTCACCCTAATTTGCACCTTAATGCATACAGTGTGGTCCAATCTAATTGCAATGATAAAATCTTGGGCTTACAATTTGGCTTTGAGTCTTAGAATGGCAACTCTTTTCTATAATTGCCAAATGTTAGGTCCTTATCCAGTCTACCCTTTCAAGATCCCAATTAACAAGAACCCTCATTTGAATGATCATAGAATGTGTAGGAACTTAGAAGTCGCCCACCATTTTATCATTGATACCAATAAAAAACTCCAACCTATAATCTCCCTATATTCATTTAGAAATTGAGCTAACCTGTAGTCTCCCTAGATTCATTAGACTTTTTTTATTGCAAGAAAAAAATCCAGTTAAAGATCTAGATTTCACCAGGAGTCATGACTACAACAAAACTCAAGTTAAAAAGTGTCATTCATCAAGAGTTTTGTCTAATAAAAATCCAATTAAAGATCTGGATTTCACCAGGAGTCGTGACTGCAACAAAACTCTAGTTAAAAAGTGGAATTCATCAAGAGTTTTGTCTGATAAAAATCCAGTTAAACATCTAGAATTCATCAGGAGTTTTGACAGAAAAAATCCAGTAATTCTAGTCTTCATCAAGAGTTTTGACTCTATAAAATTCTAGTTAAAAACCAGTATTCATCGTGAGTTTGCACTGCAAAAAAAGAAAAACAAAAAACAATTAAAACAGGATTTCATCAAGAATTTTGACTGCACCAAGAATCTAGTTAAACACTAGTATTCAACATGAGTTTGACTACAAAAATCCAGTTAAAAGTTGGTATTTATTAGGAGTTTTGCACTAAAAAAAAATAGTTAAAATTGGTATTCGTCAGTGTAGAAAACCAATTGAAGTTTTGCACTGATATCTCTAGTTAACACCAGTTATCACTGGCAAGTCTTGGCTACAAAAAAAAAGTTAAATCTAGAATTCATCAAGAGAGAAAACTAGTTACTAATAAGTCTTGGCTGCCAACAAAAAAATCAAAAAGCACATAAATCTGCAATTCAATAGGAGAGAAAACCAGTTATCACTAGTAAGTCTTGGCTGCAAAAAAAAAAGTTAAAAACTAAAAATCGCATATTGAAGTTAAAACCACAGGTTTTTTCTTCTATAAAAAAACCATATCTTCTACTGTAAAAAAAAAAAACTAAAAATCACAAAAACTGAAATTAGTTTTCAACCAAAAAAACTAAAAATCACAAAAACTGAAATTAGTTTTCAACCAAAAAAACTAAAAATCACATTTCTTCTTCTGTAAAAGGAAAAAAAAAACATCATTTGTTTATCACATATTCACCAAAGTGTTTGAATTTCTCTCGTTCAACATCACATATCTTCCACTCTAAGAATGTCTCTTGTATGTCCTTTCATTCACAACTATCCTATAGAAGATGTATATCCTTCTTTACACAAAATATTCAATATCTTCTACTATTCGGGTTTTTTCTTGTACATCCTTCCATTCACAATTTGTCCCATAGAAGATGTATATCATTCTTTACACAAAATATTCAAACAAAAAACAAACAAAAAAGTATGATATTAACATATACACCTACTCCATCATCCATTATCCAAAAAAATGGCAAATCCAGTTCCATCTCCTCCATTTGAAAGATAAATAAAAGCTTAACCATGTTTATCAAAACCTCCCATCAACCTACCCTATTAGAGTTCTCTCACATATCCCATCAACATTATATCCATGTGTAATACAAAAAAAAAAAAAAAAGTTCAACAGCTAGTCTAGTTTTCAAAATATTGACTGTATATTAACTACTAAATTTTTCCAATGTCTTTGTTTTGCAAGATAACGAGGTCAACAAGAAAATATGAGGGACGGGAGTGTAAAAGTTATTTATAGTCCATTTTGGTGAACTCAACAAAAATCCAATCCATTGTTTTTAGTAAATTAGATTTTTCATTTACCACTTGTGATTTTCTTTGCTCGTTATATGTATTTGATATCATAAAATAATCTTGTTTATATTTTGTTTATATGACTCTATAACAAGGGGTGGGATAGCCAGATTTGATTTGAATTGGCAGCCAAAGCCCCAAAGGTCATTGTGTATGCTTGTATATTAACATCTTAGGTTGCCTTGTGGGGTAGGGAAGGGTGGTATATGGGGCCTAACTCTTTTTTCACCTTTGTTCTATTTATCATCCTTGTTTCCTTCTTATCTAAGTTCTTTCTCTTATTTTCATTTTGGGAAAGAACGAAATTTATTCACAAGAAAATTATTTAAGTCCTTAGATATGAGCACCTTTGTTATCAACTTATCATGGATTCATACAATGTTCACTTATCATGTGATCCAATTATTATTCCCAATCAAGCATGCAAATAGCCTAATTTTGCGGTGCATCGGTGTGTCTCTGCTTACCACTTCAACCCATCTTCTTACTAATGATGTAAAACCTTCAAAGATTGTATCATATGTTAATCCTTATCTTATGCACTTATATTATATGTGAGGAAACCAATTAAAAACCCTTAAGATTAGCTTTTAGGTCTTATCAAAGTGGTTCTCACTAACTTTCTTAACATCAAATTTATGTAGGTTCTATAGATTAGGGTTGTCGTAGAGTTCCCCTCTTTGGAGAGGAATCAAGTGAGGCAC